TCTACACAGTCGATACCCCCCGCGGGGGCGCCGGGGCAGGGGTAACGGGTGAAAATACCCAGACTCGCTGATTAATCAATACCAAGGGCGATGCGCGAACACCGGCAGAACCTGACCTCGTATGACCTTATTTATTAGTCTACATCTTGGGGGTCCCCTGGAGCAATCCCTGACCCGACCTCTTAGTCCCAGCACATATAAAAAAACTGTGAAGAACTTCGGGCTCGGGGTGCAGACAAACAGCTCCAGTCAGTTACAGGTCAGCTCATCGCTTCTGTTTTACTTCCCTTTAGAAACCTCTTCTTGTAATCCGAAATGGCAACCCACGAATCACAAATTATGTTCCGACTTACAGGCTCCGACGAAGGCGATATTGCCGAAACGTAAGCCATGTGGATAAAGTGTTAATAAAAACCTTGAAGGCTAAGACAACCTACGACAAAGTTTCTCTATTTCATCCGTGTAGTGTTTATTTGACCATTTGCTGCTTGTTCCACTCTCCATCAGCTATCAGATCACCTTCCACGTATTTAAAGTCTTGTACCCTTTCGATGGACTCCTCAAACCGCTAACGGTTGGCTCCGTACAATCCTGCGACCCTGCTCCACCAATACTTCGCTAAAAGCTTTCATAGTTGATTTAGAAGGATCGTATATGTCTCTAACCAGAAATATCAGGAATTTTGGAAGGACTCAATATAGGACCGCTCCCGACGGAAAAATCCGAGCCTCAAAGGACCTCCATGACTCCAGAAAACTGTTTCCAAATTTTACACAAAAATTTCATCAGCGGTTGTGTCATCAGCGAAGTCACTAGCGATGTATTTTACCAAAGCATCAACCTTTTTCTTGCTAAAAATTAACGAGAAAAGCTGACTAGAATAGGAAGTGTGGGGCCTCAGAGAACTTCAGAAGAGGGAGCAAGTCAGCGCTTGCAGAGTCACGCAGTGGGTAGGGGCAGGGAATCGAGTATTATAAGGAAATTTCTTCCCGATTACTGAGCAGGCCTTCGTCAAGACCCTATTGAGTGGTATTGCTTGGTACAAGCCTTGATTTTTAAGTGGAACCAAACGAAATAATCTATTGAATACAAATCGGGGCATACCACGCCCGGCGCTATCAGATAGGAAAACGGCCTGCAGGGGCTCAGAAATTGTATCTGCTGGATGCCACCAAGGAAGCCGGAGAAGTTCTAACGTCGTTGCAAAATCTGCACCATCCACAAGAAACACTCATGTTGGAAATTCAGAAAACTAGTGTTGTTTCCGTCGTAGTAATCTCGTACAGCTTTTGTTTTATTTAGCAGCCTTTTCTTTTAAAAGCTTTCAAGGCTTTAGTGCTTTTTCTTATTCTTTGCCACAATAATACTGCTCTCTACCAATACTTTCGCATTTCGACTAAAAATGATACCAAAATTTTTTGCGGACTGCGCGTCTAAGCTCCATAATTGTTATTGGTATTTTCTTAATACGCGAATGTAGTAGTCACTAAGATTGTATTCAGACAACAAAGCCGAGGATCGATTGTCGAGTCGACAGTTCGTCTTAAAAAACGTGCATCACAACTTGTTATCGAAATACCAGCGGCACAATTGAGGAAAATCAAGGAAACCGAGGGAATCGGATCAGTGAAGCGAGAGTCAAAACATTTCTGCGGTCAGTTGCAGAGATCTTGAATGATATGCTGTACTTCTGTTTCTCATCCCTAGCCGGGCAACATCTGCTTGAAATGACTACTCTATCAAAGTCTTACAACATTACCAAACGCTCTTATTTTCGAAAAGCTGTTGTAGACGTTCACAGGAGCCTACACATCTTATTCACTATCATGGTAAATTAAAGGTACAACTCACGTTACAAATGTTTTATGAGATTTCTCCCTTTTATGAACCTGTAACCCTCAAAAATAACTCAAGGGAGGATGTAGGGTCGAGAAACGGCCAAAATAGGGTGCAATGTGGGACCGAGAACCGCTCTAGTTGACATACTCACCCAAGGTGGATTAGTTCGTATGTGCTATGAAAGCTGTAGTGGTTGCACCACTCGCCTCGAGAACCACAATTTGCACGCAGGAAGCTTACTGCAGTTCAAACAGCTCGTCCAAATGCCCTCCCATGCAAATTCTGTCGTCATATTCCCTTCTGAACCGCGATTTTGCGTCTTTTTTGAAGCCTAAAGATTTTCTAAATACGCCGGTTTTCACGCTTTCGTCGCGTTTTTTGCACTGCTCTGAACTATCACTGGAGTATCACTTCCATTATTGGCCTGAAACCAGGTACCCCAAAAATATCGTGAACTGTGCCCTTGAATGAATGAGAACTTCGAGATGATGTAGAGCCTGCTAACATTAGTGCGCTCAATGATTTAGAAGATGAATAACAGTGGAAATGTAAAGGGAAGGGTTAGAAAAATCTGCTTCAGTTTCATTATGAGGACTCACTTTATAATTGCGTAGAAGAGTAAGGTCCTCGGGTTTTATATGTTTTTTTTTCCCTCGACGAAGAAATCAAGTGGCTTCCTTCTTCCTAATATTCGTAGCTGGATTACAGATACTACGACATTACATGGTCCCAAAAGGGTTTTCTATGGAAAGAAATTTTCTTGCTTCTTTTGGCTGGTGATAATGTTTGGATTACTTGTGTTTCTGCTGTTGCAAATTGGAACTCTGTCGTCTATGTACTTCAGTCATCCTACACTTTCCCAGGTACGCTGCATATTCGAGTCATGTAAACTTTGCTAAGAATTCTTCAAACACTGTTATGATATTCTGGCGGCTTTTATACTTATTTTCTTCTGACGAGGGAAGGATACCAGGTCGCTATGGGCATTCAAGATAAGAAGGGCATTCCGTGTCGTTCGGTGCTAAGATGTTGGTACCGGCGCTGTCCTGCTGGTAATCTTGTGAATAGGTGCTGCGGTACTTGATCTGAGGGCACTACACCCAGCACCAAAAGTACAGTCTGCTGAGTCCTGTAAGTCTTGCGTAGTACTTGCCTCTCCCTCCGACACTGCGCCCTCACTATCACATACTGTCTCATTTCTGCATTTCTGTATGCGTGTGCATATGATAATGCGGACAAATAAATCTACTAATTCGAATTACGCGGATTTCAGTACATAGGATTAGCTCAAGGGCGCAATCAAGTGTCTCTAACTCTTCAGGTGAAAATTGAGTGCGCGGATGGATAAATCTCTGAAAGGAGTCTTCATCATTGTGCAAGGAAACGTCAGTTAGAGGTTCCGAAAAAAGGAAACAAAAAAAATCGGGATGAATCCCTGCTCTTCTGTGTTTCAAGCTAGATGGTCCAGAAGGGTACAGTATTTGTTCTTGAATCGTGCTTTGAATTTCATTGCTTCCATTCCACTTCCTCTGAGGCACTGAGATCACAAATATAAACCAATACACATGGCCGGCGATTTGTGGACAAAACTCCAGTCTCGGACGGAACTCGAACCCGTATTTGTGCACTTCGGGCACAGTGCTCTATCCCTTATACTACCGAGACCCTGCTTGACCTCGCCTTCTTAGTGACTTATATGCCATAGCTTATCAGCACTCACACGTACAACGTGTTGAGCAGGTCGGCCAATATCAGCACAGAACTGTAGAGCTGTAAGCTTTACTTTGTTTACCTTGGTTGACTTGATGTTTAGCCATTAAGAAGGAGAGGGCAAGCGGGGTCTCGGTAGTGTAAGGGATAGAGCCTGGAAATACCACTGCAAGTCCCGTCCGAGACTAAAGTTTTGTCCACAAATCGCCAACCTTGTGTGAGACTTTCAGAACGCGTACTGTGGCGAAATAACGGCAGTTAACAAAACAATATGTTAAAACATTATATTCGTTGTTCAATAATCTGATAGGATAAGCTTCTCTCCTATTTAGGTATCGTTCCTAATAAAAGAACAGGGTATTGCCTTTCCTGTGGTCACGTTTTGCAATTTCAATCCTGTGAAAAAGACTTATATCAAACGTGAGTAACTTCCTATTCAAAAATGCAATTTTATGTAGTTGTTATGTTATTATCACGTTCAAAAGCAATTACACTGAGATGTTCGAACGGGTACTAACCTACGAGGGCTAGTGTATATATCATGGGACTTTGAAGTGAGCCCATATTAATAGATAGAGTTGTGAATGCAGTTTAGAAATTGTGAAAATTAAAACTGCAAAATGGCTTCTCTTAAAAAGTTGTGGGGGCCAGAAATTTGCTTGATAGTAGTGTCAACTGGAAATGCGAACTCGTCGCTTGGGCACCAAACGTGGACGTAGTATAGTGGTAGTGATATCGGTTCACAGGCGGAATAAGCGTGTTTGCTCCCCATCAGAGGCTTTCAAAACCTTTCCGACTTTTGTTTGAGTGAATGCCTGTGCCCTTGTCGCTCATTTCCAAGGAAGAATGGATCTTCACGTTGCTGTATGACTGTTTTGACTTGAACTCAAGAAACATTCAACCAAATAATGCCAGAGATGTATTCGAACAGAATGATGCCAGAGATGTATAAGATGCCTGTGAAAAACTCAACATTCATGGGAGAACCTGAATAAAATGTGTGAAGCATACACGTTGTTCACAAGCTGCACACCCTGTACATGCTGCTTCTCTACAACCAGAGATGGAACAGTTATTTCTTTCAAGATTGAGGATAATCGAGGCGGTTGCACCTTATTCGATCTTTGGATGACTATTCACCATATTAACATACGTAGTATAGCTTTTGCTAGGCAGCAAATTTCGTATCACTGAAAAGGTTTCAGCTTTGGAATCGGGCTAAACAACATTTTTTAGAGATCAACGAGACGGGTGACTTTTCTGAAGAACTTCTCGAATACCTCATGGAATATATCCAGGATGCAAATACCTTATACGGCTCGGCGGATAGACAAAACCTACATGTAGGTACGGTTGTACTTGATCACAAGTCACTGTTGTTTGTTAGCCCTCTGTCAAGAACCACATTTAGCGGAAATATATACTAACAGTCGGTTCGCCCAGCTAGCACCGGGCTTTCCTCCCTCTTTAAAAAAAAGCTGTAATAATCGGCAAACCGTCGGCTCCTTCTTTGGAATAAATGATACTTTTTGGAAGGGACACCACGAAACCTGACAGAGGGCTGACAGGGCATGCAAGTTGTATTCAGTATGTGCCCATGCTCATTAATTGCAATTTTGATCTGTTGCTGTTCATTATGAAAATAATAATTTAGAATTCGAAGCCTCAACCGCTTTGAATTGAAAATTTCCGCTTCCAACCCTTGTGGGCGGAGTGTAGTCTTGTTGCCTACCATCAGTATCCCCATTTTGCCTNCGGAAATATATACTAACAGTCGGTTCGCCCAGCTAGCACCGGGCTTTCTTCCCTCTTTAAAAAAAAGCTGTAATAATCGGCAAACCGCCGGCTCCTTCTTTGGAATAAATGATACTTTTTGGAAGGGACACCACGAAACCTGACAGAGGGCTGACAGGGCATGCAAGTTGTATTCAGAATGTGCCCGTGCTCATGTTCATAATTGCAATTTTGATCTGTTGCTGTTCATTATGAAAATAATAATTTAGAATTCGAAGCCTCAACCGCTTTGAATTGAAAATTTCCGCTTCCATCCCTTGTGGGCGGAGTGTAGTTCTGTTGCCTACCATCAGTATCCCCATTTTGCCTCCTGCACCCCTACCGAATTTTAGCGTTCTGGGTACAATTTTTTCTGCTCGAAGCGCGCTCCCTGTAGGTGGACCTGTGATGCCACAGGTGGCAGGACTAAATTTCAATAACAAAATATCCATCACAATATTAAACACCAACAATCCTAAAGCAGCACTCTCTCAATTTAATCATTTATTAGGTCTTTCAGAAAGTATCCTCTGAGAGTTTTGCAATGATCAAGATTTTTTCTGCAATCTCGTGGACTATGTAAAGGATTTATCCGCTCTTATGCGCATCAAGTATCTGCGTCCGTGTTCCTTGCTTACTCGAAACCTACGATAAAAGAATACCTTTCTAAGCTCGGCGTGTACATTTTAGTTAGGATATCACCAAAACTGACTCATACGATCATCATATTCAATTTTGTCAAACTTTCTAGTTTGATGGTGGTTTACCATAATCTGTTTTCGTTCTTCGCCACTTATTGGGTTTCGCTACGGTTTGTAATCGAATATCGGTATTGGAGCCTTAGTTGATGCTTTGACGTAACACACTTCACCACGTAATGTCAGTGGCACAAACAAAAAATAGCTAGGTACTTCTGCTATTAAAGCCCATCGAAATTTGGATAAGGCGCTTGGCATTCTCTGAGCGTTTTCTTCTGGCTAAAAGATCTCGTGACGCGGGACGCGACCCCAGGTAGTGAACAGGGGGGAACAAATCGTGGACCAAAAGGTACTGGTACTTGCCCAGAGGCGTAGGTAGATTCATAGAAAGACTCCCTAACCCTACTGTGCTGAGCCAACCTAGTATCCTCGTAGGTGCATCCATGGGTACGTATGTGCACAGTCTGCAGGTGCGGTTGGTAATCTGCATAACGGCCCAAACGAAAGCATACATTCAAGTGACTGGGAAGTAATCTGGAAGGCGGCTCGAGGCCTGCTCCAGAATCTAAACCTCTTGTGCACAAAGGGACAGCCTGGCTAGCTTCCTGGAGCCTACCTTGAACCTAGGTCAAGCCTGGGAAGCTATTCGTGACTACCCCTATGCCAGAAGCAATAATATAAATAGTTATCATTCCCTGCAGCGTTGGGCAAGACCGCTTGGGAGGGGCTGCTAAATTCTCAGGCCAATACAGCCCACACATGAGTAGACGAACAAGCGCGCTGCAAGCGCGTACCAAAAGTCGGTGACGCAAGCTAGAAAGATCAAGGACGACGCCATCGGACCAACGAAGTCAGAAAGGCATTGTCCGCTGCAGGCCATTTTCAAAACTAGAAAGGAATCAATCCTTGGAACATGCTACAGCGGAGGCTTCGGCGGTGCAGGCGTTTCAGTCAATACGCGCTTCTCGAAGACATCGATACTTGATAACCCGAATTGGGAGGTTCCGATCAAGACGATGTGGCTGAACCCCAGCTCTATTCGTTGCCCACGCACATCTAGCATCGAGCCACAAAAAGAGCTTCAATTGTTTTACATGGACCTTAGAAGGCGTTTCGGTGAGGACCACATTTTCTTCGAAGCCATCGCTGGTCATTTTACCGCAATCTATCATTTCGACCAAGACCATCCACGGTAATTCGCAGTTACAGAAGCGCTCTCATTAGCTGCTTTCATAGCTCGCCGGCCGGCCGGCGAACTATGAAAGCAGCCATTTGCGATAGACATGAGAGTCACGTGGTAGACATTTCCTTGAAGAAACAGATCGCATGATCACCAACCGCATTTGTAACTTACTGACGTTGTTACTGTTACGAATACGGCACAGGATCGGACCATCGCCTCCTCAGTGCCAAATCCTGCCTTGTAGTACTTGAAAATAGAGCTGTTAAGTTAAGGAACCAGAGCTCAAAGACCGCCATTACTGTGACCACTTCACTCGGTTTCTTGGAGTATTCCGTTAATCACAACATCGATGAGTAATATGACCCGTTCGCCAAATATCTTCACGACAGTGCTAGGAAAACAAAGAGTTTCCTGATATCTCTTTGAAGGCCACCGTGGATTCGCGCGAGCTATAGGCAATTACCAACAAACGTGCGAATCTGAAGCTATGCAGAGAAGCGTTAGAGAGAAAGAGAGAAGAGCAGCAGCTGTGGTC